CCTCTAGTAGGAAAAACTTTCGAGTTCGTTTCGTTGCGTATTCAAAGTGTCATCGAAAAATTTTGTATGAAAAATTAAACAGCGCCCCCTAGGGCGGCTATAATATAGGGGGCGCTGTTTAATTTTTCATACAAAATTTTTCGATGACACTTTGAATACGCAACGAAACGAACTCGAAAGTTTTTCCTACTAGAGGTACAGTGCTATAAATCTTAGAGTCAGTTATTATCCAATCAGTGCTCGATATAATAATTAGGGGTTCGATTCTGGTGTTAATTCCGTTCGATTTAATTATAAAGCTTTATCAACCTTATTCATGACAGCACTTCGATTTTTAATCAAAGGGACAGTGTAACGAATCGCGGTAATTGGTATGAGGTGGAACGGGTTCTTTCCTATTTTATTTTGAAGCTAGTAATTTTGTAGCTTCAGCTTTGCGTTTTTAATTAAAATGCAAATTATATGACTCTGTTGCACTTGTGAAGATTTTTAAAACCAAGAACCACTTCTATGCAGCCTTATAAGTTATTATATTCTTAGTGTAGCGTGGATGTATGTAAAAATTAGATGTAAGTATCTTGGGTCTAGAAATTCTTAAAATATCTCATTCATCAAAATCTGTGTTTTGCGTGAAAAATAAACACCTATCCTCTATCATTAGAGCGTAAAATAAAATAAAATGAGCTGAGATTTATGTTACAGAATAAGCGCCTTCACTTTATGCTCCTTGAAATGGAACTTTCTACGATAGAAGACGTAGTTAATAATCATTCGTAAACAATAATTACTGCCTTCTCGTGGTTATCTCTCAGGTTTAATATCCACTGATGACAAACATAATGGTGCATTCAGATGGCGTACTTATTTACTATATTTTGTAAACTTATTGACTATCTATATCTTGGGTATATTTCGATCATGAATGTTCTCTAAGAAAAATGAATGACTCAGCTGGGATGTGTATCCACGACCGTTCGCTTGGCAGGTGACTGATGACCACTAAGCTTTGGAGGTAAATTTTTAAAGTATAGGTATGTTAAATGTTTCAACAAATTAGTTGATATCAGTAAAAAGTCCGTTATAACTAATGATATCGTGGTCGGTCAGAGTTACGTACTAAATTTGAAACTCAGTAAATCATCCACCACAATCAAACATGCAAAAGCTATTCAAATCTCACGATATTACCAAAGTTATGTTTCTGACCCACTCGAATAACAGAAAAAGAGATAGTGAGTTCACTCCACTATTTTCACATCATAGGATCTAGGAATTCACTTCACTGAGCTTCACCTCCTAAAATAAACACTGATTATTCATTCTTCATTTCTGACCACGAAAACATTATATGAGATCGAGGAGGTAAAATTAGAATAGTTCAATATAGGGTGACGTCACTGCTACGTCCACGCGTAAAAATAATAGATTTAAGGTAAGTGCCCCCTACTTCGGTATATTAAGGCTCTTACGACTTTAACATTTTATTTAAAAATAACCAAGCATGATATCAGTATGAAAGATTTTGTATGCTAAACTTTGGTCTTTTGACAGTAAGTTAATACATAATTTATAGTTATATAGTTTGAATTTTTTTTTATATTAATTGCTCTGCGGACCTCTTGTTTGGATCCTGTTTCGTGACAAAATTTTGCTCTGTTTCTAAGTTCGTGAACTCATGTCCCCTATTTCGGGATAAGGTTTTATGCATCCAGTTAGGATATTTTAATAATGATTAAGGGTTTAATAAATTTAAAAACGATAATAAAAATTTAGAATAAAATAATTATGTGAAATTGACGATATTGCTTACCTGAAATAATTATAAGAAATAATGTGAGTCTAGTATAACATTTTGATTTGTTAATTCTAACAATATGTGAAAATATTTATATAACCATTAGAAATGTAGGGGGGGGGGAACTTACCCCCTCCCCCTTCGTACCCATAAAATTTTGATTTGTTATTTCTAGCGATATGTGAAAATATTATTATAATAATATACCGGAAAACGCAGCGTAGGACGTCCACCTACAAGGTGGACCGACGACATCGTAAAGGTAGCAGGGAAGCGCTGGACGCAGGCCGCTACCAATCGATCAACATGGNAAACATGAAACCACTATTACAAGTTTTATTTAAATGGACGTTCCTTCGCCTTTTTATAAGCTTAAGAAGTTGGAGCGCTAACCTTACGGTGAGAGCAACCTTTGCAAGCCGCACGGCTGTTTTTGGCTCTCTGAGAGTTTGAAGCTTCGTATTGCTCTCATTTTTGGCGCCACAATGTTGGTACTTGGTTTTTTAGATAGCTTAAATAATAGAATTTTTGTAGTAATTAAGAATTTTTATAAATAATATTCCATTTGCTTATTATTTGAGCTAGAAAAAAAACTTACGAACTTACGTACTATCACGAACTAGTAGCCGTTTACCTTACACTAAGCAAACTTGCTTTTTCTAACTAGAAAGCAAGCGACTTGTACCTACTGAAGGGAAAGCTCTGTTCATTATATTACTACAGTTCAAGACCCACGAGAGTCTGGATCTGTAAAGGATAACATGCTGATTTCCATATTTGTATCTAGCTAACGCCTTGCTGATATATTTAAGCTGTCGTCTATTAGCCTTGTGGGTTGATGTCCTACGCTGCGCTTGTCAGTGCGTAATCTCTGTATTTACTAAACCTTACTTCGTGACGTTGTCTCTTACTATGGGCCTCATAAGAAGGCTCAAGGTCATCCAGAGGGCGATGGAGCGTGCAATGCTTGGAGTTTCCCTGCGTGATCGGATCAGAAATGAGGAGATCCGCAGGAGAAACAAAGTAACTGACATAGCCCGCAGAATCGCTAAAATCAAGTGGCAGTGGGCGGGGCACATAGCTCGCAGAGCTGATGGCCGCTGGGGCAGAAAAGTTCTCGAGTTGCGACCACGAGCCGGAAGAAGTAGTGTGGGCAGGCCTCCCACTAGGTGGACCGACGATCTGGTGAAGGTCGCGGGAGGTGCCTGGTGCGGCGCAGGACCGGTCTTTGTGGAAATCCTTGAGAAAGCTTTTGTCCAGCAGTGGACGTCATTCGGCTGAAACGAACGAACGAAGATTTTCTTCATTTTAGTACCTACTTATATGTAAGTCGTATCTTGTGATCCTACTCAACCCAATTCCACTATAAACATGTTTATGCATAACTAACAATCGTTGTAAAGGTATTGTTATCAGTGGCCCGCGACTCACTGACCCGCGGGTCGCCCGCATATCTGACGCATTATTACTAAATGCTAATACTCCGTTAAAAGGGCCAAGTGCATAATGGTTGTGTCAGTCAAATATAATAAGGGAGTTGGCAGGCGTGGTTATTTTGACAGAAAACGTCAGTGAGGAATAACAATGTTGTGATCAGAGAAAGCTTCGCCATGACGCAATAATCACTATTGTTCATTTGATTGGATTCGTAATCATAAAACCAGAATAAGGTTCTGGTTTCAAAGCAGATGAATCAAAGAAAGATGAAACAAGGGTTTTTAGATTTATACGTAGCTCCGCCCTCTGACTTTTAAATTTATTTTGATTGTTTTTCTTTTGGGTCATCATCTTCATTTCAATCAAAGGACGTCCACTACTGGACAATAAGGACTTTATTTTTTACGATTATTTATTTTTTAGTCAATTCAACTCATAATTTATGGATACTTATTACATTATTATTCTGTCCTACGGAAACAAATGATGCCACTAATATTATTTTTGTCCGTAGACTTCCTTAAAGCTCTAGGAATTCTGGGATATTACAAAATATCCACATTCTTAATAACTTACACGAGTAACCAAGATCAGACCTGAATATTTGCTTTCTATATTTATCTCCATTCAGTAAAGTAGCGGAAGAGTACATACGTTTCAAATACCTTTAGCACTTGACATGTTACGTCAATATTTACCTTAACTTCCAAGAGAAGCCAAGGAAAGTGAAAATAATCTCGGTAAGTTGACAAGTGCGTGTTTATACAGCTTTTATGGTTCCGTAGAATTAAATGAGCTTCATTCACAAGTCATATATCAAAAGAGTATATGGTAATTCTACAATGGACTTGATTGTGATATTTTTTTATATTTCTAAAAGAAATAATTGTGACTGATAAGAAACCAAAAGAAATTAGGCGGGCTTTAATTTGTTCAAAGGTAGACGGTACCTAGGAGGAGGTATTTACTATTTTTAACTATTAATTTAGTTGATTAAAAATGTTCACTACCTGACTGTTACTGTAAATAAAAAGGAAAATATAATTTTAATTTAATAAAGTTTAGATAAAATGTTTCTTAATTAAGTAAAAGACAAATCATAAATATTAATTTCAGAGAGATAATGACAACCTTCAAAACTCCGAAGTAAAAACTCAAGTTTTTATTAACATCAATTCAAAAGCTCTAATAGGTCTTTAAAAAGTCCAAAAGGCTTTTTTGTCAAAGATCTCAGTGCTATCTCAAACTTTCATGCTTAATTTGCAATAAAACAAGTTTTATAATAAAGATAAAAGCAAATAGAACTCTAAAAGATTGTAAAAGAAACAAGTCATCCCCAACAAAGGAAGGAAATTAAACGCACTGCCCAATAACTTTGAAATCCTTTAAAAACAAGACAAAAAAGAAAAGATCGTTCCCAAGAAGAAACTTTTTCAATATCAGCCCGACAACAATGGAGCGCTTTTTTATTCGCTAGGTCTAAGGGAATAAATTGTGTATCAAGTTACTCCCTGGATACCAACGGATAGAGACGAGTTATGTGCTTAAGTCCGTGAGATACGGCGAATATAGTCGTAACCACAATGCACTTTTCTTAACACGCATCTTACGCACACTGCTCACGACAGAAATACACTGTGTGTAGTGTGTACGTCCCATATTCTGGGATAGCGAGCGGCAAGCGATTTTGGGCGAAATTTCATCGTCTGTCGCTCGAGCGAAAGTCGATTTTCGTAGTGTGTATACAACGCTTTGGAAGGGCGGCCGCGTAAGCTACGCTACGGGCCACGTGCGACTCGACAAGTTGCGCTTAGTTCTTCGTGAACTGTGTGGGAGGTTAGTCCGCTACATGAATATAATGTTCCGTCAATGTCACACGTTATGAGCGTACGCGTAACGTTTTTCGCTTTACGGGAGTGACGCGAGTGAGTTACAGGTGAGTTTGACTCGAAACCGACTCGAGACCGACCGCGGTGATGTGCCGGTTGTGAGTGTTTTTATCACGTAAATGGACCAATATTTTGGAGAAATGCTGTAAGATCAAAGGGATGGATCAACGCCCGCAATTTCCGCAAACCATGAAGTGTTTACGGTAAGTTCCCAATGAGGTTTTTGGTTAAGAATTCGAGTTTTGTGATCTGATTTACTCGAGAGCTTCGTTAGCTCTAAGCTAAGTTTGGAGTTTCAGGCAAATATTTGTTTGTGCTAATTTCCTACTCGGAATTGACGTTATTTACACGATTTTTCTGTATGTAAATATTGTTTTGGAGACGATCATTTATAGATCTGAACGTTTCATGCTTGTGGAAATGTTGAAAAAGGGTAAAGTTTCTTATTATTGTTCAATTAACAGTGTTTATAATTGTACATTCAATTGTTTATTGTATAGCTATTTTAGTTTACATTTAAATTGATGGTGCAGCATCAATTTAGGAGCAAAACAGCTGGTAAATTTGAAATTAAAACTCATTGTTTATGTATAGAGGTGGGTGCTCACTACTGCGCATGCTCGCAGCTATGTGTCAACGTACATGTGTAAATGGGCTTTTAAGCTTATAAGTATGTTTTGCGAGGCATTAGCACGTAATGTTTACCTGAATTATGAAGCGTTTAGGGACTATCTGAGGGCGAGAGTGTTATTTATTCACTTTCCGTTTACATTTACGATTACAAATACGTTTTATATCCCGTTTTGTATTATTTCTTTGCAGAATATTTTAAATTAAAAAATATTTGACTCGCTCTATCTCTTTCCCTTACCGTATAATGGATTAATATAGTAATTAATCTAACCTAGATCTAAATTTACCAGACATGATACCAAAACATTCGTTCGTTTTCAGCCAAATGACGTCCACTGCTGGACAAAGGCCTCCCCCAAGGTTTTCCACAATGAACGGTCCTGCGCTGCCCGCATCCAGGCTCTTCCCGCGACCTTCACCAGATCGTCGGTCCACCTAGTAGGAGACCAAAACATTACCATCAACAGAATAAACGACATTTATTTTATATGTACAGTCGACGGCATATCAAGCTGCCACTGTGGCGTCTTATGCAGTTCTGATAGTTACTATTATGCAACAAAACTGTATAGTCTAATGTGCTGTTGACTGTACATTAGCATAAAATATTGAGTATTACTTTCATCTTTATACAAGACACGTGCGACTCTATAACATCTCAATCAATATCCAGTACAAGCCTACAGTTTCTCCCGTTGAGTAAAATATGGGTTTTGTATTAAAAATAATCAAGCTAATTTATAATAGGCCCCTACTAAAAGGTTTCACTTTTTTGTCGCCCCTAATCGATAATAAGGCGTCATGAATAATAAATAAAGTTGAATTTCCCGTTTTGGATTCGAACACTGTCATATCTAATGGCATTGCTCGTATGAAAGAATAATGAAGGTTTATGCCTTTGCCTGAATGCAGTTTAAAAAAAAACTAACCAAGCAATATCGAGTGCAAATATCAAGAACCCATAGTAACTCAATGCTGAACTGAAACAAAAGAATGTAGGTTAATGTCTTTGCCTGAATAAAATAAAAAATAAAAATTCAAACTAAACAATATCGATGTGCAAATATCGAGAACCCATAGTAATCCCATTAGTCACCTGTCGTTATTCTCACGCCGGCAATTTACCTCCTTTATACCGAAGAGGCAAAATAATTAAAGGCGCCATTTCTTGCCGACGCCATCGCTTCTGAATGAAGAAAGAAGTTAAGTGGGCGGTGTGTATTGGTTGACTTTGAATGGCCATTAATAGAATTTTATTTCTGTACGGATTTGGTAATGGATGGTACGTATCTATTATTAGGTTTTCTAAACAATTATGGTGGATCTTTCGTTTTTTTTGGGTTTACCCTGTAATAGATGGTACAGGTAATAGTATGAGTGTTGCGCCCGTATTCACAAACATTACTATGAGGTCTCACAGTGTTCGTGGACGCACAGGGTCCCACACGAACCAATAACAGAGCTCTATTCAACGCTGTGGGTTCGATTTGCTGCTTCACTTAAGCAAGTACCGTTTGTGAATGCAGGCGTTAATGATCGACTGATCAGAAATTTTACTAACTACCTCAGTATCCCTAATATTACTTCACTTTACAACCAAAGAAAAGTCTCATAAAATCACTACATACTTACAATTACATTAACAGCTGCTTGACAATATGATTCGACTTTGTTACTTAGAAAATTGCCAGTTTCACTGGCGTGCACTGTAATTGCAAACCGTAACTCCCTTAAAAGGAATATTGATCAAAGCCTACCATTACTATCTTTGACTCCAATATACTTAATGTTTTAGACCGATGCCTGGTTCTCAATAATTCCAGAGTTATCAGTTCTGCTATTTTCTAGCAGCCCAATAGTCCAAAAACGATATTAAAAACTTGACTCTATCTATCTCATTCGCTTACCCTAGAACAATCCATGTGTGACAAAGATGGATTAAAACAGTAAAGCGCGATGTATTTCGCTCTGTCTCTCTCATTCACGCTAGAAAGCTCGTTTTAGTGGTAGAGATGGATTGAGGTCATTTATCAAAATAGTTCACGGGACTAACCCAAGCATTCAGCTACCATCGATAAGTGTTAATCAGTACGGTTCCGATTCCGATAATCGTACTGTCTCCTTGAGGCTGTAATCGATTATTCATGTACGGCTTATCTAAGGGACATTTTCTATCATGTTCAAATTGGATAACATTATGATGAATAGTAGGTATTACATTTACCACATCGACAAAGAAAATACTAATTGGTATATTTATTTATTAATAGGTACAGTTACACTAGGTACATAGAATACTACTTGTTTAGTAAAAATACATCTACAAACCACTTAAAAATCTATGGACCAATTACAACTGCAAACAACTATGCCTAATAACTTAAGTGCTTAAATACAACAACAGAAACTAATGTTAGCTACAACAACAACTAATCCATCAAACTAATCAGCATTTTATTTTTTAAAACCCGCAATGTATACTGGATTATGTCCTTGTCAACGTCAACACTATTGTAGGCCCTGCACATTCTGTAAATAGGGTGATTTGCTGTAATCGATATGATTTACACAATACAACAAAAATTTACAAAACAACTTCATTATAAGCTAGTCATAGATTTATTGCCCGTATTCACAAACATTACTATGAGGTCTCACAGTGCGCGTGGACGCACAGGGTGACATACGAACCAATCACAGAGCTCTATTCAACGCTGTGCGTTCGATTTGCTGCTTCACTTAAGCAATCATCGTTCGTAAATGGGTAAATAATACGGGCGTAAATGGGTAAATAAAACGTAGCAAAGTTTCTCTAGTAAGTATGACCAAAATAGATTCATATTTTATTTAATAAGGGCAATGCAATATGTAATACTGAAGTGGTATATTTTAGGAAAGTCTTACAACCGAGCGAGCCCTTTTTATGGCTTCCCGTCCCTTGAAGTGTAGATGGATCCAATTTCTTTATTATATTCTATAGATAAAATAATATTTCAGCTGCATACGAGAAAGTTACGATCTAGAGTTATCTCTTAGTGACGAACATTGGTTAAAGGAAAAATCTAGTACAGGTATTTTTAAAGAAAAAATTATAAGTATGTAGGCACTTAAAAAAAAGTAAGTAAGTAGACGTAGAATAAGTAGATTTGGTTGATGGTAAAAGGTTTATGCAAGCTAGATTGATATGTTTCAGATAGATTATAATCCCAATATCATATTAAAGAATATCGCATGTAAAGGAAAATCTTACTTGATTTATAAATCAAACAAACTAAATAGCGTTTTAAATAGCGTTATTATAGGACCAATTAGGAGCAAGGTCTGTGAAATAATCCTTCTGTGAAAAAAGTTTCATCGTTCACCGAATCAATTACACAAAAAGACTCCGAAACTTTTCCGATATTCTCCGAACTGTAGTGTTACGAGAACCGCTTTACAGCGTTAAGTTATAAAACGGTATTTAGCTAAAGCGCTTTAAGCGAAATGTCACCAATACTACGGTTATTATATTTAGTGCCCAGGACTAATTGGAAGTGTACCGACGTAATGTGGCACTTCCTTGTTCAGATGTGATATTTATGATATTTTGTTTATATTTTATGTCAGTATGAGGTAATCTGTCGCACTATTAATCCATTTCAAGCATTTTGATGACAGCAACCAAATTATTCTCGAAAAGGATTATCATCAAAAACTGACTACTGTGCAAATGAAACTGTCGTAAAAGACTAGTAGGCACTCAGTGACATTGTTTTCTCAAAACAATTTCTCATCTAAATTCATTTTGTAATATAAAGGAAAGATAAACTTCTCGGAAATTACCCCTCAAAATTAAAACTTCCATCCTACACCGAATCAATTAGAATAGAAAAAGATCCTGAAATTTTGTCGAAACTCTCTGAAGCGAGGTATTGTGAGAACCTTTGTACAGCATTAACACTAGAGTACACGCGCGGCCTACTATAGTAGACCAGGGTAACATTTTACGCTATAACTTTTTAAAAACTTGCACTAGAGAGCTGGCATTCCAGGAAAGCCTCCTTTACTAAATTTGTCAATAAGTCAGTAAAGCTTGGGTTGCTAGCGCCTGCATACTTTTCTGAAATTGGCCTTCAAAACTGCGGGTGTAGTCAAATGTCAAAAGCCCGATATCACTCGTCAAAAAAATAATGGAAGACTTGCAACAAAATGGATTTACCCCGTGTACCAGGCAGTAGAAAGTCTTGACTACTATGACAGATAAAAAATAAATCATATTTTTCCAGTATTTTTTTTTTGTTAATATGGATCTCAGAGCGCAATTTTGGTCTAAAAAATTTAACAGGAATTGGAATTTAAATTGGATTACCAGGGAAGACCGCGCGTGTATTGCTGTAAAAAAGGGGGCGCGTGTACTGTAGTGTTAAGTTGTAAAACGGTGTTTATTCAGAGCGTTGTAGCGTAATGTCACCAATTCTTCGGTAATTAAATTTAGGGCCCCGACTAATTGGAAGTGTACCAACGTTATGTGGTAACTTCCTCGTTCGGATGCTTTATAGCTGTACATTTGTCTATGGGTTAATGTCTATTT